TCCATGGACTAGGACAAGATTAACTCACATTATACACTATCTAGATTTTTAATAAAAGTGTTTAAAACATATGCTATCCACCCTGAGTAATTTCAAATGATACATATTTTTCCTTTGTACTTCAGATTTTACCAAACTGCAGATATTTAATACTTCCCTCTCACATCCTGCACAGATTTCAGTAGTATAGATGTAGATTGCTTTTCACTTTTGTTTGATATGCCTTGCAATTAATACAGAGGTTAAACAAAACAGTTCCACTTCCAGGAAAATTTTCTATGACCAGTAGGCATAAACTCATGACAATCTGGGAACTTAAGTCATATTCACGACACTCAGCAAATGTGCTGAGGGATATTTTAGATTTTATACTGTCAGGTACAAACTGTAGGCTAATTATTATTAAGTGCCCATCACACCTTCAGTACATAGTACAAGTAGAAAGAACATTTAAAGGTAAAAATTTTGGCCTATGGGCTAACCTAAATTGCCAGAGGGTAACTGATGTTATTAAATCAGCATTTATGAAATCAAGTATTCTTTATAGTATACACCATTTTAACAGAGTCCAATACTTCATCCAATAACTCCTTTAAAAGGATTTGTCCTAAAACATTCTATGGTAGGATTATCATCAATAAATCATACCCTAGATGTGCTTTCAAGTATGTAAAGTTTGGGGTTCAAGGCTCAAAGCATTTGTTTACACATAGCTTTCAAGTGCCATCAGAAAAGTACTTTGGTTTAATCACATCTGGACACAGCTAGCAGACAGGACTTAGCACTTCCAAGATAAATGTCTTTTGGGAAAAGCAGCTGAAGGCCATGTGGTGTATCCTACAGCATCTCATGTGGTAACAAACACCCACACTTGAGCCTTTATTGTGCACCCATTGCATGGCTACCTTTCCATCTACTCACTATTTTCAGAACTTCTTATCCTCAGCAAAAATGTAAAAAAGTCAGATTGCTTCTGTCTCTGCCTAAACATAAAAAAAGACATTAATGAAAAACTCTTCTCACAAAACTTCATGTTATGTCCTCCAAGTCCTAGTTGAGAAAATTCATACTCTGTCTTTACAAATTAAACTGGCTGTAACCTATGCAAAATCTCCTCTGAACAAGGGAAGATTTGGAATTGCAAGAAAGAACATCCCTTTTAAGTTTTATAAATACACTAAGGTCAATCCTGACAGGAATTCACAAACAAAGTCCTGACTGAACAAATTGTGTTGCACTGCATTTTCCCTGACTCTTGAATTTTCCTTTCAAGATTACGTGATTGAATTTTCCAGACTAGATCCAGAGTTGACACTAGTCTCTTTCACCAGCCAACAGATTTAACCCACTGATTTCAAATGTTTGCCCAAATGCTGCAGGAAGAAGTTATTATTTGCCCTAATTCTTACCTTCCTTCCTCACACACTGTGAAAGCTACCAAGAAGACAAGATGACACGACGAGGCTTCTCTCAAAAACCAGAAATACCTCCCTGTAAAGCTCACACAATGCATTGCCAAATTTCAAAATATGAATTTAAAAACACAGAGACTTATTAATATTTATTCAAGATCTCACAGAGTTGGTAAGTATGATTAGACAGGGATTTGAAGATAAATAATATCATCTGCTGTCTCATCTTCACTACTCTAAAATAAGAAGCCCAACATTGGTAGAAGCATTCAAACTGCAGCCTATATTCTTATGACTCTACAGCTTATTTTTATTTCACCTGCGCTCGATTTTTTCATTGGCAGTGGTGGCACTTTTCCATGGCTGTATTTTCCCCAGAATGGCCATTAAAAACAAGACTTTTGGTTTAGAGCACTGAAGCACTGAGCAGGGCAATGGGCACCCACAGAGGAGACATGGGTTTGGATGGGAAGCAGCCTCGGGGACCTCAGTCAGCAGAGCACAAACATGCTATAACCACACGCTTATTGAAATGGGAGACTCCTCAAGCAGAGGGCTCCTGTTGAATTCTTGAGTGTTTTTCTTTCAGGGGCATTATACTGTCTCTGAATTCAACAAGAAATCAAATTAGGACTCCTGGGTTCCATTTCTGGCCTGCCACTTACCCATGATAAGATATTGGGCAAATCATTTAGCATAAATAAGCTTCAGTTTACAGAGCTGAAATACTGCACATGGGTGCAGTAAGGCTGATGAAAAGTACCATAATAGTATTATGAAAGTGCTTTCTCCCAGATTTTTAAAATTCCTTATCAAAGATTGTCTTAACCTGCCTTGCTGAATTTTAAAGCCTACTCACTTTTTTAAGAATCTCCTTTTCAAAGGAAAAAAAAAATTGACTGTTTAAAAGATTTCCTTGGAGCTTCCAACATAGAGTAGCATAATATGCTAGCATCTCTTTACATGTTTTTTTTTCTGACTTTAGCTTATAGTTCTGGGTATGTGACAAAGGGCAGCTGTTTCCCTCTTTGTCATCTCAGTCCTGTCCCAGGAGCTATTTCCTTCCACTTGGTTTGGCCTGTACTTGAGTCCTCCCAAGCAAGTATTGGAATGTGTGGCTTTTCCAAACCAAGGAAATTAACTTAAAGTCAGTCTTTTAATGCACAAATTAATGTTCATCAAAACCTTGGGGATTAGATACAGCTGATTAGAAGTACTAAGGGGAGTCAGGCTACATCAATTAATATTTAAGACCAATCATTGAATATACAGCCAAATTCAGGAATAGTGTAAGGTACTCATGCTGAGACATACCCACTCTGTGCTAATCTTTACACATTATGTACGTGGGAACTGAAACGAGCTCATAAAATGTAAATGAAAACCATTTAGGGCCTAACAAGCATCATTACAATTCCGTACCCAGAGAAGTCCATCTTCTCATAACCTGCAAATCTGCACAGGGCTCCCATTGTGCACACAGAAACAGAAAACCAAAGACCAACATCGTTAGGGCAACTCCCTCATTTTGGTTACCAAGCTTGTGACAACATGCATAGAAGAATTTCAGATAACTTTTGAACTGCTTACAGTCTTCGTCCAGACTTTATGACCTATGAACAGAAGTGATCTCTTATAAGGAAGTATTTTAGATGCCTTTCTTTGTGACACGCTAAATAACACCTCTAAGTGCCTAATATTCTTCAGCTGGCTGCAAAGGGAGCCCAAATGAGGATGAAGGTTGCCTGCACCACAGGTTAACTAAATGCCAGTGAGAAGATCCTTTGACCCTGGCTTTCAGAAGATCTGTGCACTTCTGGAATTTCATGAAATCCATAGAACCTACAAGTGCTTAGCTCTTATGTGAACCAAAGATGCATAAAAAGAAGCTTTCCAGAATTAACACACAATAATTGGGAGGCCATGTTGTGAATTAATTAACAGTTTGTTAATTCAAAATATTAACATCATAAGCACAGGGTAGGAGCCTTATAGCTCCTGCAGGTTTGTTTTTGTTTTTTTTTTTTTTTTTTTTTTTTTTTTTTTTTTTTTTTTTTTAAAGATGATGTCATCTCCCCAACTACAAATAATACAATGCTCAGACTGGTCATGAGGAAGTCTAATATAAAATATCCCTCTAGAGACAGCATGACTTCAGCCATGATGGACTTCTGGTGCTACCAGGAAAACTTTCTGATTAGCTATTCTGCTGTGATAGCACACTCTGTACCTGCTTTAGGGCAAGAGCATTCTTCAGCAAACAGGATTGTCACCGAGGAGTTTCCTTCAGCTTTTGTGGAAATTTTGCAATTGTCTCTTTTTCTCTTCAACAGTGTATTTTTCTTCATTTCCTCTTCAGTGAAAAAAGAAATCTGATCTTCACAGATGGAAACTTAAGTATTGCCAGGATGGCCAATATACCCAACAGCCATTCAAACTGGTCTGATAAATGAAAGCATTTAAATAGTTGCAACCAAAATAAGCGACAGAAGGTGGGAAAAGAAATGCATAATTAAGCTAGCTACTAGGGTACTGTTTATGTTTTATCCTTTAGTGCATTACAAAGTACAGAACACAAACTATTACTAGAATTTTTGTATACCTTAATATATGCATATTAAATCACAGGTATATGTGATAAACAAAATTTAGAAAGAGTATAAATTACTTCAGCTTCTCCAAATGATGTGCCAGGGCTGTCAATTGGTCATTCAAACCCACTGTCAGGAAGATTGTTCAGTAATACAAAATGGCCAAACCAAATCATGACAACACACAATCACTTTATTCCTTATGTGATACTTCTGTGTTTTCATGCAGCACATGTTGGAAATACCAGAGATGAAGTAAGCAAGATTACACAATTAACAGAATCATCCTTCTCTTTTACATGTCACCCTGACTTCTAAGGGTCAAAGTAGCAAAGAAAATGCAAAGTAATAGTAGAGGGAAGGTCTTCACTGCTGTCCTTTCTTTCCCCTTCACTAAGTGACTTTTCAGGGACTTTACTGCATGTTAAGCATCTTTTTTGCATTGCTTAATATTGTTATTAATAATTCATATTTTTGTCTTTCTCCTCTCACTCTGACAACTTTTATTTTTAATCAATGGGCATGTGTCAAATTGCTTTGTTATTTATTTATAATGTAAGCTGACAAAAGAATGGGATATGTGGTATAAAGATGAGACAGTGTTTCTTTCCTACAGCTGATATCCTCAGTAATAACTATGTGTCTTGTTCTAATCAGTAGGGTCAAAAAAACTAATTTTGCCACAAATAATGGAGGACATATTTAGTATATTTGTACAGCTGGATGTCTCTCCTCTGTCCTCACAGTCATGCACTGACATAAAAGTTTAAAATGTAGATTTATTTGTATGCATGCACACTGTCTTTGAGCAAGAACAGGAGTGCACAAAGGTGTTAATAACAATGTGCCAAGTACTGATGTGCTTATTCAGACAAATGTATTACTAAGATCAATGTTCTTTGTCCCCTAATGTATCAACAATTCTCACAAGTTGTTTATGGCAAAAACCTTCCTACTCTTTTCAGCTCACAAACCCCAAATAGAATCAGTAACTCACCCAAGACAGAGAGGAATTCAGTGGCACAATGCCTGCTTCAGCCCTCCTTGCCACATAACACATGGGAAACCCCTCGTGGCAGAATACCTGGGGGAAATGCATCACCAGGCTCCTTCCCTCATAAAGCTGGGAAAACAATTAAATTCTTCCTCACTGAACATGTGAGAAGCAAACTGTTGATTACAATTGGCTCCTACGTTACACACGTAGGATTTGACTCTTACAGCCCTTCCATGCACACATTTTCTCAACATATTCTCTCACACCTCAACTTCTACTAGAGAACTCATTTAGCTTCTCTCTGGATTTATTTTTGTTGAATATTAAAAGTGTCTCTTAGTTCCAGCTGAATGGAATTCACTGTGGTGACTGCCTTGGTGTGTCCTGAGGCAGGAGGCAGCCCTGTCTGGACTGTGGGAAGGCTTTGGTGGAACTTGGGACTGTATTCTAGAGCAATGTTTGCCTGCTAGAAGGATACTGCCATACAGGGTGTAATTATCATAAAATAAAATAAAGCACAAAGCCATCGGGGTGGGGGGGAAAGGGACTAGACACTTTATATTTTTAAATATAAAAAGGCTACCATGCCATGTGATTTCTAATTCAAAGGAGAGTGCAGACTGAGGCTGTCTACTTAAGACTCCTTCTTCCTGAAAAGGTCCTACTTCCCATTCCTCTATAGTCACCACCACGTGTTGTGAGTGGGGGTGTGTTTGAACTTTTTATTTCAATGCCTGCTGAGACTGTTGGTGCAATAAAGTGACATCCCCTTACATCCTGTTCCAAACACAATGTAAGATCGGCAGAGTTACCTGGTGTAGCTCTGAAAGCCAACCAAGCAAGAGGACATCAAAAATCTCAAAGCCACCATATAGGCTGGCCAGTGAATTTGAGGAGACACATCAAAGAAAACAAAGTAGAGGATTAGGTTGTTAGAGAATTATGCCACTAGAACAATGTCTTGGAAGGAGGAAGAATTTAGATTTTCAGAATAAACTGTCATAGTCCACACACACACACATTTGCCTTTATTTTCAAGTTTTCTGGTATTTCATTCTGTTTTAATTTATCCACTATAGAATGGAGAATAAAAACGGAGGCATTTTCTTTGATGTTATCCTAGCCTTAATGCTTTCTTTCAATGCCTCCTTCACCATACACATCATGCTGAGAATAAGCATGACATTCAAAGTGAGGATTGTCCCTCCTGATTTACAGCTCAGGGACAAAGAATACAAATGCCTATTTCTTATTCTTAAAGACCAGTTGGTAACCAGATCTCCTCATCTTATGACTTCTTTTGATACAGTTATTAGAAAATCCAGACTCCAGTGTGGCCATAATAGAAGTGGTCAGTTTACAAATTTGTCATGAACACCACCAGTGCATTTCCCCTCTCTACCACCTAATGAACCATTGAGATTCTGAGCGCCAGAGGAAACGACAGCCACTTTGAACAACAGAAATCCAGTAAAATCAGCATAAATCTCAGTTACCATAACTAACTCCACTGCATAATCAGGGCTTGGGCACATGTGGCAACTAAACAACACAAGAACTGGAGAATGCTGTCCTGGAGAGTTGCCCTTATCCAGAGAGAGCAACTGAGCAGCCCAAAACTTGTTACACCACTGGGTAATTAGTCTGCAATTTCTGATCTCAGAAGTCAAGTGCTTCCCTCATCAACCTTCCTCTCCCAGAAAAACCTCACAGAATTAGCTTTTATTTCTTTTTGTTACCAGTTAGGAATTGCATAAGCAAGCAGAAAGAGTGTTCTTGTCTAGTATTCCCAACAACTTTGTGGACTTCAAAAGACCAGAGGAAAATCCTCTGGGTATGCAGATGAGGTGGGCTGCAAGACTATTAAAATCCAGGCAGTTTTTAAATAAGGCTAGTGTGCTGGAAAGCATCAGCTCTCACTGGGTATGAAATAATTCCTGCTTCTCTTCATTGACTTTTTGTAGCTTATTCAGGGAAATAAAAGCAAAGGTGTGTATCAGTTATTCAGTTGTTGTCAGGTTTTTTTGTTTTTTTACTAGTTCAGTTTTTTTTTTTCATATGAACCTGGCTTTATTTAGGGGTGAGATTTTCACAATGTGGAGTACTGGTCTGTTTAATCTAAAGTGCACGGTAAACCATTCATTGACTTCTATAAATATAAAGTAATTCCTGACTCTTGAGAAGCTTACCCTAAAAAAGAAAAAAAATAGCAAAACTAGCCAAACAAATAGAAATCTAAAATAATCATTGAGCGTCAGAATGCATCCAATGCTTATGGGTGGTTGTCTTTTCTCACCATAAATCTCACCAAGATATAAATTTTTCATTTCCTATCAGCTGAATCTTTTAATTTTTCCTTGATTTATATTATGATTGACTAACAGATGTAGTTACAAACTGAACTGATATAAAAGCCAAAATGTCTAAGAGGAGAAAGGAATTGCCACAGATATTATCATCACCTATTCAATACATACTGGTACACACATATTCATATGATTACAATCTGCTAGTAATATGTAGTGAATGCAGCTCAGACTGTTGCTTCATGTGTATTCAGTCTAAAATCTACTAGAGATTTAAAAAAAAAAAAAGGGAGGCTTGTCATGGTAAAGAAGGGAGACTACGAAGGATTACTTCTTGGATCCTGGGATGACAGAATCAAAACAATTGGATCATCTGAGGTTACACAGAGGCTGAAAGCAAAAAAGTCAGCTTGAAGTCTGTGGGCATATATGTGCTTCCAAGGAGTGTGGATCTTCTGATTCTGAGAGGAAAAGGTTGGGGCATCTGTTTTTTTTTCCTTCCTCAATTGCCATTTTATTTGCTGTGTGCCTTTCTACATTTCTATGTCTCAGTCTCCACATCCTAAAACAGAAATTGTTAATTTCTACACAAACAGCAATGCCTTGAGATGGTTGGGTGCATTTTGCTGAAGTTCTTTTGACATTGACTGAAGAGACTGGTGGCTTTCATGTAAAAAGTAATGGCACTACTGCTGTCATGAAACCAAAGGAAGTTTATATTTTCAAAGTATTTACTTCTGCTCTACAAGCCTGCCTTATGCAGCATGTATATTTTGAAATAAAGTATACTAAGAGGTAAGTATCCTGATTATATTTACACTATGAGACAAATTTAATTCTGCCTTATACACTGAGTAGATGCTTTGACCTTCAAGAGATGCCAATCAAGATGGAATTTGCCTCAGAACCTTTCTCTCCCAAAGTTTTCCACAATCTTGCTCATGTGTTTTACAGTAACACTTTCTTTTTTCCCTGTTCATTAACTATTAAAATAAAATATTCACATGACAGATTTTTGCCTCAGTTTTCCCACAGCAATCATATTTCCTCACCCAAGAGGATGTCAGGAAGCTTCATTAATTGTTTCTGAAACATTTACAACTTTTCATGGAAAAGGTAAAGCATCTGTCTCCTAAAGGAGAAAAATAATTTCCAAATGGATGAAGTATCGCAGCTCCCCTCTGAAGTGCACATATTTTAATTCTTCACTCAGAGATAAAGAATTCGAGACACAGACATTACAATCAGTTTGTCAAGTATATGTGTATTATCTGAAGACCAGAGCTTGTGCCTTTTTCCCTCCAATTCCTCTTTAATCTCAAAAAGCAGTTTCTTTGTTGAAGGAGCTCTGCAGACGGTGACAGGCAAGAGTTTATGTGAATTAAGCCAATCATCCCACACCTAACAGCATCAGTGAGGCTTGGTTTCCTTTAGATTTGGGTTCTCTTCCTCTGTGATGTTCTGGCCATGATATCCCTAGTCTTCCCAGTTATGACTGCCCTCTCCTGTGGGAATCCAGGGCTTCCCTCTGGCTGCCCTGGAAGGCCTGGGACCTTGGCAGGGGGTCAGGAACCCCCCTGTACAGAGCCCCCAGAGACACTGTCTCTGATCTCTGTCCAGGCAAAAGAGTTTTCAATCTCACAGGATGAATTACAAGCTCTGAGTGTTTGATATGAGTAATAATTAAGTGTAGCATGGGTGCAAAAGTCAAATTTTAGGATTCTAGATTAGGGGTTCAAAGGGGACAAGATGGAGGAAATTGGGTGTGTCTTGTCCTTTTTCTCCTTCTTCATGCCCTCCATGTTTCACTGTAGTGTTGGCATTTTTCTGTTGGTTTAGGCTGGGGACACACTGTTCAACATAGGTGACAGACATTGGCACATTATTGTAAATACAGCACAGGTAGTTTCTGGTATATAATGTTTGTAACATCCCACTGAGGGCAGAGCCCCTCACGCTGCCCTGCAGGACAGACCTGCAGCAGGGCAGCTGAACATGTTAGAGATAAGCAAGAATAAACAACCTTGAAAACAGCACAGACCAATTATGGCTTCTTCTTTGGCAACGGGGCAGAAAGACAGAGACTTTTTACAATCTCAGAATCATCAATACCACAGATTCCGACACTCTCCCACTTCTTCCTCCCATGATCTTTCACTCTTCACCTTGGCCAACACTCACAGCTCCTCCAGCTGCCTCTTCCACACTGAAGGGCCGGCACGCAGCAGGTGCTCAGGAGGAGGAAGCACCAGACCCATCTGGGACAATGCTGGCCCAGCTGGAAGGACCAACCTCACACTGACCTCTGGAGTCTCTCTGCAGCCTCTCTTGAAGGCAGCAGTAATTTCTCCCTCTGCCTTATTTCTGCTTTTAAAAACAACAGCAGGAATTGGGCATTTCTGCCAAACTTGGTTAAAATGAGACAGTTTGAAGCTGACAAAGGAAGAGGGGGGTGGTCTCCTAGAAATGAGGCATCTTCTTATATCAGTAACTTAGGAGTGCGGACACCATTGTCACATTTGCTTGTATTTTTCTGGATTCATGGATTGGTAAAACACGTTTTTTCAGGCCACAATGGCTAGCCCATGAGAAATACAAAGCTCACTTAAAGTACAAAGACATTTCCAGCTAGCAGCAGCTTGCTTGAGCTCATCTTACATTAGTTTTTTTATAATTTCTTTTAAAAGCTGAATTAGAAAAATAGAAACTAAAAATTAAAACTTTGTAAGATTTCTAAATCTAATGTAAAAACATCAGCAGTTGATGCAAATACAGAAACACAGTAGAGAAAAAAAAAATAAAATAAAAACACTTGAACTTACAACATATCACCAGGGATACACCACCAGAGATGCCTACCACAAATTTAAAGGATGTATTTCCCCTTTCAGAGGGTAAATCTACTTTCTTTCTTTCTACACATTAGAACTGTTGAAGTATTTTAACACTAGGTGAAACTAATAATCTAAAAATGATAAGTTGGGAATAAGCTCCAGAGGTATGCACTGAAATAGTTCTCTGCTGCTAACTAGAAAAATGAGGACTGAAGATAGAAGAGATTAGGGATATCTCAGGATTAGGGAAGGAAAAAACATGTCAGAAAGCTATGCCTTCAGGATAGGAAGCCAATGGGAGTTCAGGGAGGATATGGAGCCACTGTTTGCTGAGAACTTGAATTAATGTACTAAGCCTCTGTAATGATCAACTCCAGTGACCATATCCAGCCTGAGATCCACTGAAGGAATGATTAGCACTGAGTTACAGATCTGAAAGCAAGAGAGCATCACACAAATATTACTCTGCCTTCATGCATAACACCAGCCCTTAAGTCCTGCCTTCTACATGCAAACCAGACAAGCCCCAAGGGATATAAAGATCCATTGGGTTTCACTCGGTCACATTGAGATCCCCTCATCCTACCACAGCCCTGGAGACCCCCAGTGCAGCATTGCACCACCTGTGAAGGATCCCTGGTGTCCCTGGGCTGGGGAGGACCCATGGCCCTGTGCTGCAGGAGAGCTGTGCTGCCCTAATGTCCCCACATTCCAAGTCCTTGCAGTCCTCTGCTGCCATGGGGCTGGTCCCATGCAGACTCCTTGGCTAACCTGGCTCATGACCCAAAGAATGAATAGTCTGACCACTCTGCAATGTGACCCTGATGCACAGCTCTTGTGTGCTGGGCCTGAAAGCAAACAGTACATTTGGGAAGCCTTGGATTTATTTCAAAATAGATTAAGTCCTTTTCCAAAAGAAACAGGAACATTAAAGTCTTTGTAATGGAAACAGTGAGACATAGGTTTCAGACTGATCAAGCTGAAGCAATCTTCAAGGCAATCCGTTGTCACAAACAAGCAATATTTTCACTCCACACCCCACAGCAGACCCCTGTAATATATTTTATTTCCTTTGCAAGTGGCATCAAATAATTTTCCAGTCAAATACATCTACCTTCCTTGCTTCTCTCTCTTGGGACTCTTTGAAGGAGAAGGAAAACATCAAGACTAGGCTGTGTTGTGGGATTAAACATGTCAGGAGAGAAACAAGAGAAAACAATTACAGGCATGATACATAATACAAAATAAATTGGGAAAATTGTAAGAAAAAGCATAGCCAAATCATCTGAGCCATAGCTGCATAGAGCATAAATTCCCCCTATGATTTGCCCACTCACCATCCCTTGCCTTAGGATTCTGCTGTACTCCGTTTCACTGCTGTCTATCATTCACACACAAAAAACCAGTGCTACTTTGAGCTACTCTCCTTGATCATAAAAAGCCTTCCTACCCCCAACACCTGTCCTCCTGCCAGCACATAAATCCCAGGCAGATCTGCCATGCAGTACCACCTCTCCACAAGACTTGAGCTTCTTTACTTCTGCACCTTTTATATATCTCACTACTAACATCATCTCCTAGGACTGACTCACACTGCAACTTCCTTTATTTCTAAAAAGACAGGATAATCTGCCCTTTGTAGAAGCATTCGTTTTGTCCGATTTCTATTCTTCTTGGAATTTTGTGATGTCACATCCATTCTGCATCACAGGAGAGTAGGTGAACTGGAGTGAGGGGGAAGATCATCACAAAAAGAACAAATGCCTTCACAAAAGGACACCATCACTGCCTTATATTTATTTACATTTCAGATGTCATCAGAGTGGCATCTGAATGGCTCCTGTCATCCTATCTCTGACATTTCCCTGTGTGGAGATGTTTGTGGCATTTCTCTGCTTTTCCTGCATCATTTATGCAATATGCTAAGTACAATCCTAATTGTATCCATTATTTTGCCCTCCTTCAAAACTCCTGCCCCAATAATCCAAAACCTCCATCCCTGATCACCTTTCACATCCAAGGTTAAAGAAGCTCTCTGGAACTTCTGTTTGTTTGCATTTTCTACATCTGCCGAGAGAAGGGATTGTATCACCTGAGTGATGCCTTAAACATGCAGAAAAGAAGTAACACCTTTATAATGAAAAGGTGAGCCTTCTAGGGAGAGAGGTCACTCCCAGTAGTGATGTGCAAAGAAATGCTAAAGCCTCATTACTACTCACAGCTGTAGGGAGATCTCCTTCAACTCAGCTGATAATTACCTGGAACAGAAAGACCAGGACAACTAAGGCAATTTGCCTGAAAACAGGAGCAGGAAAGCAATCTTTCCTCTAAGAGTATCACAGATATTCACAGTTGGCTACAGTATTCTTACAACTTAATTTTCCAGCAAGACCCCATTTTTTAAACAAAAGCAGAAAAACATCTCCCTATTACCTTCTTTTCTCCCAACTCCTCAAAAAGTTTTCCATCCTATTCATCTCTTAATTTTAACTTTTCAAAATGTGTTTTAGCTCTTATGTCTTGTTTTTCCAATTTTTATAAACTTTGCTCCAACCTGATGACTAACGGAAAAATGTTTTTACGGAAAAATTGAGAGCGTGATGCACCAGATTCCATAACTCTCAGAAAAAACTTTTACGTAAGTTTATTGATTTATATTACTTTCTTATTAATGTATTTATTAATTGTAATATGTGATTATGGTTATGGATCTGTTTTCTAATTGGACTAAATGCACTGAAACACTTTCCGTATAATCCAAATTTAAAAAATGTTAATATTTAATGCTTGGGCAAACAGAGCCATGCTCATTATATCCCCTTTCCTTGTTTCTTGCTACTAGCTAAAATTCCCATTAGGTATCCTCCTGATTTCCTTTTCCTTTATTTTGCTCTGAAATAGAAGACCAGTACTCCAGTACTCAAATTAGAAGGCAAGAAGTCGGTGTCTCCATTTTTTCCACCTCTAGCAATGCAAAAACCCTTATTTTGTTGATTGGCAT